GAACTGAGGCTCTGAGAATTAAATCACTTGCTCAGTGTTACTCAGGGTTTTTTTTCCTGCCTAGTTTAATTTCTCTTTTTTAAAATACATCTTTATTGTAAAGGTGATAGACAGGGAGGGTTACTGTTACATAAGTAAGGCAAAGTGTTACTCAGTTTTTCAATGACCCAAACATTTAAAAATGGAGCTGGATTGAAATTTAGCTAATTCAGCTCAAAGATGGTGCTCCTTTGCTTTGGAAATTTACACTTTGTGTCAATTTTCAGTGCTTGTAGATTAGTTAAGACGAAAGGAAAAGTGAAATGTAAATTATTAAACTAATTTAGAAAATACTCTTGCCCTCAGTTGCTGTGTCTGAGTGCTGAATGCTAACGAAGTAAAGAAACTCTTGTTCTGTGATATTTCTAATCAGAAGTAGAAACAATTAACTACAAGCATTCCATTCTGAAGATCTCATATTGTTGATCTGTGGTGTTGGAGTAGGACTGGATAATAATATTTTCAAGGGAGTACCATTTACTGTATACCTTGTCCCAACTGCTGTTAACCATATAATTACTTCATAAGAAAGAGTAAGTAGAAGGCATGCCACCTATTTTATATTTATGTTTATATTAGGCAGTCTTGGGTAGAACTCAATTCTTCTGACTTCTAATTTCTAGAAGTTATTTATTTTGTTCTATAGTAATAGAACTCTCTGAAGTAGTAAAACAGTTTCTACTCTGCCAAGGTAGGAGCCATTAATTAATATGTGTTTATAATTCAACAATATTTAGACAGTAATACACTTCTAAAGTTTTCTTCACAAATAAAAAAGCTTAAAAACAGGCTTCCTGAAAATTTCTATAATTACTGTAATCTTTAGCTATATAGAAACCAAATGGACAACACATTTCTCCTGCTTTCATTTCTTTTCCCATCTGTTAAAACTTAATATATTGAGCTAAGCTATATGTTCATGCTCTAATGCACTTTATCCTTACAGATTCCATGACATTGAAATTTGACCCCTTGTTGCAGTGGAAGGCCTCATTTTCTCTTCCTGGAGCCAGCAGCATTCTAGCTGATATTGGATACCCAGGAGATTTTTTTTCTGTTTTTACAGAATCTAGGTTATGTGATGGAGTCTCTAGCCACAGATATTTGAGTGAGGCTCTGCATTACTTTTTCTAGAGGCATTCTGCATTATATTTTCCACTGATAGGATTTATAGGATTTAAAATATAATAATAGCCATTGATAAGAGAGCTTTTTATTCTTTTAATGAGAAACAAGAATATGAATCCCCTTTTCTACCTATACGTCAAAGGAAAAGCTCATGTTTATGTTATAGTAATACAGTGGGAAAAATATATCTGGCTATAAATTTCATTATAAGTGGGAGTTATTAATTGTTAGGAAGGCAAATGAGGAAGTATGTTTGAAGTAAGTAATATATATGACTCAGTTGAAACACAATACATTAAGATTCATCTCCATAATCATTTTTAGGAGCACACACATTCAGCTATTTGGTTTTCTAAAAGAAACAATGCAAGTTGGGTGCCTGTGGCTCATGCCATAATCTTAGCTACTCAGAGGCTGAGGTCTAAGAATTATGATTGTGTTTTGAAGCTAGCCCAGGCAGAAAAGACAATGAGACCTTTATCTCCAATTTTATTCTTAGTAATAGAAGAAAATTAGTAAGAAGATAGTTGATGCATTTAAACACCAATAACATCTGTTGATGTCATATGCACAAATATAATTGTTTTTTAAACTTACACTACATACAAATTTGTTGTAACTCTATATGTGTGTATATATAGACAGATTAAAATATTAGCTTAAAATATGTTTATGTTTATATTTAGAACTAACACTTGCAGATATAATGCTAAAAATAACTAAAATATCCTCAGGATCATAGGACTACACTAAATTACATCTCCCAATAATGAAGATTTTTTTCTATCATTTAGTATAGCAAGTAATACACTATATATTCACAAAAAATGTCTACAATAAAAAAGTAAAAGTTAATGGTAACTGACTAAACCAAATGAAGATAATATTTCTGCAAACCATTTATGACAACAGAAAGCTAAATAATAAAATGAAGACAACTATCATTGAACCAGAAATTCCTATGTGTCAGTTATTATTCTAGGCATAATAAATATTACTTTGCTTAATTGTTACAAAATTACAAAATACATTAAGAAGTGATCAGTACTGTTTTTCCTGAGAAAGGTGAAGTTTTACAGAATAATCTCCCCAAATAAAACAAATAGTAAACATTAAAGGTCACATTCAACACCCAGAATTGGTGCTTCAATCACACAATCACTAGATTTTTTTTTTTCTATTTTTAGCTTCAGTTTAGAACTTACTTTAGGCCAAAAATACAATGCGGACTCTTAAGTATAACAGACATACAGAAACCACAATGACTTTTAAATTTATCAGGATAATAGGCTAAATTTTTGCCATTGAATAAACTTTTGTATAAGTTGAGTTCTTGCATTATGAAAGACTAGGTAAAACCTCATTCTTTGTAGTTTGCTCATCCTTACAATCCTTGTAGCCACCATGAAATTCTGGTCATCATCCTTCATGTGCCATATAACCTAACTAAAGGATTGGTCTGTCCTAGGTGTGATGCTAAGTCATGCACCTCTGAAGATGGTCACGGTTAGTGCTTGGTAGTCATCATCATTTTGTTTGGAGCCATTTAAAACCAGGCATGGTGTGTCCAGTATTTGAAAAGCCAATATCATTTGAGATGATATTATATAGCTAGGATTTTTTCAAGAAATTCTGTTGCTTACTAAAATAATATTTCTGAGAAGTCTTGAAAGCAACATCTTTTTGTTCATATTTTCCTATGAACTGTGGGTGGAGAAGCTTATGTGTGTTGAGCTCTAAGGTGTGGTTCTGTTATGAAGATGAAATAGAGTGATGCCTTCAGTTTTAATTTGGCAAGAATGATTCTCCTTGGTTTTTAGGCATATAATATCTCTTAATTTGACAAAAAAAGGAAACAGGGAGAAAATTAAAAAAAAATCTTCTATTTGAAGTCTCTCTTATATGGCCCATAGTATTGTTTTTCTTTGTAACAAAATTGATTTTTCATAACATCTATCTATGTGCAACTACTGTTTCTAAGTCTTCACAATATGCATATTAAGTTGGCTCAAGAGCCACCAGGGTTTCAACAGGTGTTACTTTTCATTGTGAGTTATGGAATGTGCATTGGCACAATTAGGTTTCTTCACTAGCAGACACACCTCCTCATAATTTTCATTAGCATGAATGCTAAAGCTCCTGGGGCTTTAGTCACTTGCTTACACAGCTTGCATTTAACAATGAGGGCATTGACAGAGTCTTAAAAATCTTTACCTCTTCAATTGTTGCTCATCCTTCCTCCCACCCCAAACTCCTGCTTGTTTCAGACCATGGAAATCTGTTTAAGTTAGAATATGAGGTTGGAGATCTAGACAATTAGGTAGCTTTCATGTGCTGACTTCTGTTTTGGTATGTGTATTCTCTTTCTCCGTGAACAACTGATGCCTATAGAATATTAAACAGCTTGTGCTTGAAGTTGATTTACTTGTGAATTTGGTATCCTTCTCGACATAGTCAGCTGATAAATCCAAACCTGGAATTAGTAGTTACCTCTATCTTGTTAAATAAGTTAAGGCTTCCCTTAATAGAATTTGGTGACAATTCATAGTGGTCAACTGATAACAATAATTGTATTATCAACAATGGAAACAGTCTATAGTCATACTTTTCATAGTCAATTCTAACTTAATAAGCATTGCTTGAGAAACATGGCATGTATATATTTCAAAAGATAATTTTTGTCTATTTAAAGACGTCACAAAATTTTAAAATCCAAAACAAAGGTATTTTTCTAAATATAGTGATTTCAAGAAAACTCTATCATTTTATCAGTAGATATTACCACTGCCATAACCTGTAAAGATGAATTACATATTAAAATAAGTTAAATAGAAAAATACTGAGCATCAAATGATTTCCAAATTCTATCCTGAAGAATTAAAGCAGCAGTGCTATTTTTCTTAGCATTCTATTTGATTAGTAATTTCAAAACTTGGTGAAGACTCTTCTCAAGGAATTGACAGCATTAACAGTTTTCTTTATATGATTCTGAATTTAATATTTTTAACATACCCTAATCATAGTTTTAAAAGGGAAAGTTGTCTGAACAATATATATTGCTTTGTATACTCAACAAATGCAATTGTGAGTGTCATCATTACTGAAAGTATCCAAAGCAATCACATATTTAACTAATAATATTTCCTTAGAGTAGAAATATTAATTAAAATGTAAGGTCCTCCTTTGATGGACAATGCTGGCTAGTGTTACAAGGGTACATATTTACAAGTCCCAATCAGTTGCAAATGTCTTATTGTAAAGTATTACTTAATCAATTTTGATCAGGATGGGACATCAAGTTTCATTTCACTCTTGACATCTGTCATTATTTGGAGGAAACCAAATGTATGGCTTATAGTTTTTATTAGTTTGCATTGCCTAATTCTCATTATTATGTATTTCTGCTAAAGTCACTGGTTGAGGGTAGTCCTAGGATGTTAAAAATCCCAGTCCTTATCATTGTTTCATATGTCTATGTGTTTACAAGTGTCAATCCTATACTTTGAGAATTAGTTTTATGTATATCCTTTACTGATTTACATATACATTAATTCCAGAAAATATTAACTAATTGAGTAAAAACTTATTTAGGGTGAAAGGCCTTGAGACTAAGCTTTCGTGAGGGATGGCAGACATAATTTTTTGAAAACTCTTTTTTTTTTTGAAATCTGTCTATACTGGGGAGTTGAAATTAGTGTTTTGGAATGTCAGACCAAATCCAGCTTGTCCCTGGCATCATGAGTGATTGGAGGTGGTGTGATTTGCAAATTGTTGGTTGTTAATCTCTTTCAGAGTGCCTTCTACCATAAAGAAATCTGTGTCTTGTCTTCCAGTTCTCCACAAGCAACCCAGAGAAGTGTGTCTGTGTTTGCTAGAGCTGGGCCGGATTGCTGCCAGGTAGGTCAATGTACTGTCACCAAGTCAAGACATAGACCATCTCAACCCAAGTAACAGAGAAGCTACCGGCTTTTTATTGCTAATATTTACCTTAGTTGTTGAGAAAAACACTTATTCAAGTAGGATGTGAGACCATCTTGAGAGCAGTTGTTCAAACTAAAAAGCATGCCACCAGTACTCATAACATCTTATCAGAACTTCTATCTCGAAGAATTGGCTAATATGCTTTATTCCAACACATTACTTTTAAATCTTCCTTGGTAGCATGTGGAGGAGAAAGTTGGACATGTAGGTTTACTTTACAATTAACTCAATTAATTTGACTCAATTACCTCATTTACTACATTATTCCTCAGTTCTTTCAGTTTGTACTTCTGGGTGGGGAGATTGTTTGTAAATTGCACTCTAGCTTTTTTTGTTTGTTTGTTTGTTTTGAGTATTTTTGTTATCTTTACATAGTTGTAGAAAGGTGTGGCCAATCACCAAAGCCGTTTATTAATACAGTGTTACTTGATCAATGTCACCCCTTCCAACCTTTTCACCTACTCCTCCCAACCCATACATTACCTTAATTTATGTACTATTTTTTATCTGTTAACAAAGCAATTCATGCGTGTAATGCATCTTTATCTGTGTCATCATTTCGACATCTTCACTTCCCTTCGACTCACCCACCCCTTTTCCTTACATTTCCCAATTCTTTGGTATATACAATGAATTCTTGCCTGCATTTTCTCCCCTTCTCAGCATTATTTTCCACCTCCCTCCACTTGGCCCCACCCTCCTCTTTCGCCAGTAGCCATTTCCTGGTACTTATTTGTTGGGCTTTTACTTTTTAAAGAATTTTAAAGAATTGTACTATTTGCGCTCTCCAGAGTCTATTACAAATCAATCAATTCATTTGTAACCCCTTGATTACTACCCAGTGTGTTTACTTGTAGCTTTATAGGCACCATCTGGCTAGCACAATGAGGGAAAATAAGTCACCTATGTTTCTTTGGCTCTGCATTTTGTTTTTTTATTGGAGAAAGACATATAGTGTTACTCTTATATAGAGACATAGTTGGAACCTTTTTTGTTCTAAGGGAATAAAGAAATCATAGCCAAATAAACAGAGAAAGAGGACCTTAATAATGAAATCAACTTGTTTTGGTTTAATGTTTTCACATTTATTATTTTGCAGCTAGATTGTTTCTAATAGTTCTCTGAAATTCAACCAATGAAAAATGATAATATGAAAGCTGGAGGAGGTTTTAAAAATTCAGAAATGATTAGATATTTTATGATCAAAATCTAGGTATACTCCTGTGTGTATGTGTGTTTGCATGTGTGTGTTTATGTCAGTACTGGTGCTTAATTCAGGGTCTGGACACTATCCATTAGCTTTTCTCACTCAAAGCTGGTGCTCTATCACTTAAGCCACAACTCTATTTTGCCTTTTTGTAGCTTAATTGAGAAGAGAAGTCTCACAGATTTTTCTGCCTAATCTGACCCAAACATGATCCTCAGATCTCAGCCTATTGAGTATTTAGATAAGAGGTTTGAACCACCAGTGGTTGGTACATTCTTTTAGTTAAGAATATGGAAATAGAAAAGTATGGAGAAAATCAAGCAAACAAAAATAGAAAGTGTGACAGTGTGGCTATTAAACATTTTTTATGATCCATTAGAAAATTAATCTGGATTCCAGAGTAATACTAAATTGTTTAAATCACCATAGTCTATCTAATTTTAATGAATAGTGCATCCAGTCTGAATTTTATTGAACCATAGTAATTGAATTGAGAAAGAGTACTTTAATATTTTAATTCAAATTAAATGTTACCAGTCTGATCCAATCTGGGATAAAAATAAAATGGTTTTGAGACACTTTAAGTCTTTCCTGTTTTCTGTCCTATCTTTTCTAGGAAATTACACAAAGGTGTACACAGAACTTTTTGTCCATGGCTCAACAGTTATCTACCTGAGCATGTGGCCTGTATCTGTTTAAGACTGAATTTCTTTTGGTTCTGCCACATCCCTGAATTTCATGAGAGAAGAGAACAGAGGCCCTGTTGCTTCTAAAACCCTTCCACACTCTGTCCTTTCCTATTAGTCTTGGGGCTTCTGGCTACAGGACAGACAACCAGAGTCAAAGAAATACCAAGGGAGTCATTAGCCATAACTAGGGGGAAATAGGCACAAAGTAAATATCTTACTGAATGAGCTGCTGCCAGTGACGTACTTGTAAAAGAATGTGAGTGATTTAAAGATCCTACTAAGAAAACATGGCATTATGCATTTAAAACTGTATTTTATGCATCTGAATGCATTTTAATATATAAATATCTGAGGAAATATTTGTTTTTTTTACCTATCTGAATTGTATAAAGGTGTTTTAGTTAATATTTATAACCATCATTAACATACTTTGATCAAATTCAGCTCATTTTATTACTCTTTTTTAATCATTCTGTCTCTTTCCTTGTCCTTTCTAAGAATTTTGGGTAAGTTTTATTATGCTATTCTCATATGCATACACAATGTACTTCTATAATGTTCACACACACACACACACACACACACACACACACACATAAATACACCTCATATCATTACAGCCACACTATTAAAGGGTGTTGAATGATAAAATCCTTTAGGACTCAGCAATCTTTCTTCCAACTGGATTATCTATTGGTTACCTTTCCATAGAATGTAAGACAGATTAACATTGTGGTTAATGAACCTTAATAACTAGGGTCAATTTACCATAAATATTTTATATTGTGATTATTCTGGGTTATTTCATATCTGACCACACTTTATTATCACATGAGCAGATAAACCCGATGATTATTGCAAAAATTATATTTCAAAAAGTTACTGATATCATGGTGGAGATAAGTAAAAATTAAGATAATTTGAAAGGTTTACTTTCAATCTTCTTTACCTACTTGAGTGGTGTGAAATACTATTTATTTTTAAGTGGGAAAATATGCTAACATATTACAGTGTTAGTTTCCTTATGATGTGCAGGGTAAAGAGAAATAATTGAATGCCAGTTATGTAAATTATTTAAGAATAAATACCCATTTAAATTTTTCTGTCTGTATTTGAAGATATTTATTGTGATTGAAGGTATACTGCACTGAATTAGGTTAAGTGACTTCAAGTTTGCCTTAGATATATCCACAACCGTATATTGATATGGAGATACTTAAATTTTTGTTCCCTTCTTATCCACACCTATTTAGGAGATTACATAAATTGATGAATTTAAACAGCTTCAGCCAAAAGTGGCAGTGATATTTGAGAGAGTACAGAAAACCACATGGTTAATTTGTACACAGAGGAGATAAGTTTCAGCACTCACAAAGTTCTAAATGCAATCTGTAAGTTTTATATTTTTCATCACCAAGAGATGATGTGTTCTTATATCTGCCTCTAAACATTTACTTTTGCAAATTTCATAAATATCATCTTAAAGGCAACAACATCCTCTGGAAATGATTTTCAAAATGTTTCTGAATCTCTGCCACTTTCTTCTGCCTGGGGACATTTAGTGTGAAGCTCCTCTGAGAGCTGTGTGGGCTGCTCTGTGTTCTAAGATGGAGAAATGAGACCCCTTATGTTTTTTCTCATGGGTAAAACTTCCTTTTGTTTTTAACTAAATAGAGCAATCATTGCCGGAATGTGAAATCTCTCTGTGCTTATTTCAAAAAGACATCCGTTTCTGAATGTGAAATTTGTGTTTGTCTTGTGAAAAATAAAACATTCAGCAAAAGTAATTTGGAACAACCTCAAATGTATTTATAATGACATTGGTTTGACGTTAATTGTTAGAATGAAGGGAAAAGATATAATGAATTCAACAGTTTTATTGACTTGAGAATTAAGATTATAACAAAGGCAAAAAACTTCTAAAATAATAATGAACATGGTAGTGGCAGTTTCTGCTTTATTTTTGAGTGCTTCCTTGATTTGGAAAAAATGTTATGACAATTAAAAAGAAATGTTCTATTTAGATCCCTGTTCTTTTTTTGGGGGGGGGTTCCGGTTGTGGGGACTGAACTCTGGGCCTGGGTGCTGTCCCTCAGCTCTTCAGCTCAAGGCTAGCGCTCTACCACTTGAGCCACAGTGCCATTTCCGGCTTTTTTCTTTTTGCTTATGTGGTGCTGAGGAATCGAACCCAGGGCCTTGAGCATGCAAGGCAAGCGCTCTACCACTGAGTCACCTTCCCAGCCCCTAGATCCTTGTTCTAATGAAAATAAATATCAGTTAAAAAGGGTATATTTGTATGTCAAGATTACATACTTTACTAATTTTTAGTCAGAGCACATCAACTATCTGCTAAGAACAGAATTTGCTTTCACATGATTGGATTTAAAAAATGTATAAACCTGCCTTTAAATTCCTTTAAAATAGGAAAAATGGGGCAAGTTTTATCTTGCAGGGATCTATAAAGGATAACACTCATTAAAAAAGGAGTTTCTTCCATTTGCCTATAAACTTTGTCCCTCTAGCTCTAGTAAAATAGACTCCAGATGTCTTGTTTGAAAGCCATATTCTATGAAATAGCTTGAGAAATTTTTCTATTTTGGTATTCAAGTCTTTCTTTTTTGGGGGGAGGAGCGGACAGAGGAGGCCGCAGTTATTTTATCTAGATCCATTGCAAAACTTGCTTCATGTGCCAGAAATATAAGAAACCCATTCTTAGATTCTCTTCATGAAGTCATCAGTCATAACACCCTTTCCCTGGCACTTTACTTTCCTCTAATGAAATAAAAACAAAGCTTTGCCTTCTAAGTATTTACCCTTTTTATGTCACTGAGGTCTACAAGTAGGAGGCTTTACAATTAGTGGCTTCAACCTTCTTAGTACCTTTAGTTTGATCCTTATTGAATTTGAGAACAGCTAGCTCCCTCTACCACTAAAATCTTACAATTGGGAAAGAAAAAGGTAAACCGTATACCTTTGTGAGAATCTTACAGAGAAATTTGAAATGTGAACTAGTATAGTGTTAATTATGGAAACTGAAGTATAGCAACCTTTTTTTTTGAGAACAGAAAAAGAACTGTTTGATGATTAAGTTGGCTTGCAGGTGTAAGCCCCCAGCCCCAATGGAATCTCATGATATACAGCTTGTTGACAACTCCAGACAGACAGGAAGCCAATGAATGGTATTTAAGTGTGCATTTCAGGACTGTCTGACTCTACCTTAGGCAGCTTGTAGTATTCCAAAGCCAATATAAGCAGAGATTTTGGACTTAGTGTTGATTTTCTATGTTCAGTGGCACAGCTAATTTTCAGCTTTCCCAGATAAAAGAAATCTCCAGGGCAAAATTTTCCATGTGTGATTTTTTGTTAATCAATTTTCTTCAGACTTCGTCTACTTTGTTTATACTGGACATGAAGTGGAGCCTGTTGTTACTCTAAGAGCATATTTATTTTCATTCCACTTTGTTTAAAAAAGTCAAACATATGTACCCTACTTCTGAAAAGTGGCATGCATCCACTACAACTGCAAATGAAATCATATTTTCCAATTGACCTAATGTGTGTTTTCAAATATGATGGGTGCTTTCACTTATGATTGACTTTAAGTTGGCTGTTATTTCCAGTGCATTAAGTACCACTAGCCTTACTATCAAGTTTATATTATTCTCCTAAGAGCATTAGACATGACCAAATTGTATACCTCAGTAGAACTAAGACTCCACAGAACTCTAGAAAGATTAAACAGGGCTACTTGTTTAAATTCATCCAGCCAATTACGAGAAAAGCTGAGTTTATCACTTGGTCTGCTAAGCTCTCTTTCTGAAATATTTCTATTATTTCACAGTGTAGAAAAATTCCTCTACCCTAGTAAATTCCTTTGTGGAATGCAGCTATGGTACTAATACTACCCTTCATCTCAACCATACCTTAATTTTGACTCTGTTAACATTATATCTCATTTGATATATTAAAAAAAAACCTGAGGAGTTTATAGCAGATAGTCACTGTTGTAATTTTGTGCAGAAAACTAGGTCATTAATTATGAGTTACTTAACCCACAGAAATTTCAGAAGTTTGCCAGGTGTCAGAAACTGTACTGGACATGTATTAAGTACACTGGTATTCAGAATACCAATGGCACAAAATTGAAGCTGAGAAATAATGTTTGTCAAGATGTCTCATAGTGACAGATATTTTGAAGGTGTTCCATGTTGTTGTCTTGCTAAAATTCTTCCTTTTTCTTTCTTTTACTATTAACAGACATAAAGGGCAAGCCATTTTCATCTCTACTTCTCTGATACAAAATAGAGTCATAGAGTGTAAGTGATTTGATCCATTTGAAGAGTAAGCTATGATAGTTCAATTCTACCACAGACAAGAGCCATAAATCAATCTCCATATGGTATTATTTGTATTTATCTATAGTATTCAGAGGCTGTGTTCATGAAGACAAATGATTGTGTCAGCAATTTTAAATATGCATTTTAATTTGGGGCAGTGTTCAAATATTTTTTACAAGGTGGAGTACATTTTTTACTTGTAATGTTGATGTTCAATGTAAGCGATACATTTAAGGATTCAAGACCTTGAAACTGAATTTATATTTTGAACACGGTAGCACTCATGTGTAAGAACAGGAATTTTCACAGTTGTGGGTAGCTGTCATGTACCCACTCTGCACACAATACCAGATGCTAGAGATACTTTGGCTCAGATAGAATGGCTTCTAAACTTACTGATTGGAAGTGTTTCCAGTGATACCTCATTAATTGGTTAACATGTGTAAAAGACGGCTAGGTCTTCATAGCTAACTATGACATTATGGAGTAAACCTTACTCTGTAGACTAGAGGCTATGCTCAGAGCAGTAATTTTTCAGTTGAGCTGTGTCTGTTTAAGCTGATATGTACTGAATTCTAAGGTACGTTTTCCACCTTTCAAAGGACACCTGACATTTATGGTCTCTCTTCTTACAATCTGAGTTCTGAAACAGAGTATGAAACAAATGACTGGGAGATGAAATAACTATTGCTTTTATAAATAAAAAGATCGAAGTTGCAGACACCGGTAATATCTTCAATGAGAGTTAACCTAATTAACTATCTAATCACAAGTAAGATGAATCAGGGTGGGGCTTCCAGTGTGGTACTCCTACATAGAGGGCTCTCAGTGTTCAGAGGCTAAGATCATTCAAATTCTTTTGTCTCACTGGAGAGTAGAAATCAAGAATTGAACTGATTGAGCCCATAACAATATATCAAGAGTAGATAAACTGCTTAACCCTAGAAATGTGTACTGAGCAAATGTGCAATGTTATTGGTTAGAATTATAATTCATTAGAACAGAATAATAATTTAGGCTTTATATCCAATGATGTTTTAAAATAGAATTCAAAGGCTTTAAATCTACTGTCAATATACTTATTCTCTATCTGAATATTGTATTATTTATTATCTACTTTTTGATCTGTGAGAGACTTTCTCCTCTCCTTTATAATAAGCAATCACTTGAATAAAAATGTTAAAGAAAGTGACTCAGAAACCCTGCACTTGGGTACTTAACTGCTCCAGCTGGTTCCTCTCCTATAGATTTGCATTCTTGTCTATTAAAATGAATGTGTGACTTGAATGGGCCTAGGAATAAGCCAGATCCAAAGAAACATAGGTTGAATGTTTTCCCTCATCTATGGTAACTAGAATGTGCCTATAAATTTACAAGTAAACACACTGGATGACAAGACAAAAATAAACTGGGACAGGATAAATCCTGCAGGTCTCTAGACATGCACACAGTGAGACCAAAGGAGGCTATTCATAGGAGAGGATCACATGGCTCAATAGCTATGTATATGCATCTGATCATATAAAATAATATTTATTAAAATTAACTCAAAGAAATGGATATGAGGTTTTTTTTCCTTTACTTTGTTGCTGTTTTTGTTTTCTGTATCTTTTTTCTTGTTTTGTAAGTTTATCTGTTTGGGTGAGGGTAAAGAGGGCATACAGAAATGGTAGGACAAAGGGTGGACAAACAGCAGTGATACTAGACACTATGTTGAAAATGAACTATACAATTTGTAGAGGGATGGGAGGGAAAAACTGGAAGAAATCAAGGGAAAAGGTACTCATTACCTGACATGTATCTGAAATACCTCTGTATATTACCTCTATAATGAAAATAAAGAATGAGTGCATGCAAGTAACTAGGTGATTAAAAAAATATCCTCACTGGAAATGCAATGTGGCTCAGGCTATAGAGCTGTAGAGTACTTGCCTTGAGCTGAAGAGCACAGGCCCAGAGTTGAAGCCCCATGACCACCACCACCACCACCACCAACTATATATATATATATATATATCCTCACAACATAACCCTAGCCTTCCTGACCTAGTCGTAGTTGACATTTATCTAGGAAACCAAACTTTTAAGAGTTTTGCTTATAGAAAATGTGATTATGAGAGATAATATGGCAAAAAAAATCTCTGTCCCTTGATTTCTTCCCCTCACTTTTCTGCTCTATCTTCTTTTCCTGGTCCTTCTGCCCCTCCCTCCCTCCCTCCCTCTTACTCTTCCTTTTTTCCAATCTCTTCCTCACTTTCCCTCTTCCCCGGCCCTTCCTTCCCTCTCTTCTCTCTTCCCTCCCCTCTTCTCTCTTCCCTCCCCTCTTCTCTCTCTCTCTCTCTCTCTCTCTCTCTCTGATTTTCTGTTGCATTTAAATTCACAAATCATGAATTTTTACATATTGTTATTCTAACTCATTCTTGTGTCCTTTCTGTTCCTATTCTTACCTACAACAATGTATATGTTTTTATTGTACTGTTCCTAAAAGTTTAATACCTGCTCCTCTATTACATAGAACATTGTTCTAGGCCCTTAGGAAATGCACAATTAACACTAAATTTCTACTCCGTGCTATAATTGACTCTGACCTTATAATTTGACTTACATCTTTTAATTACTGTGGTCAAAATGAGTATAATTAATGCATTGATGATATTGTCAAAGCTGGTAAACATAAAAGCTAAACTTCCCCTGGTTATTCATGTTATTGACTCATTAACATGTACATTGAAGATTTTATTTTTAGTATGTTATCAAGTGTGTCTCATACATATACAAAAAGTGCCTGTGGTTTTCTTCTTAAAGGATACTTATTGAAGATCTTACCATTTCAATATTGGAAAACATTACTGCCTTTTAAAAAGTAGTAGTTGGGCTGGGAAGGTGGCTCAGTGATAGAACACTTGCTTTGCATGCATGAGGCCCTGGGTTTGATTCCTCAGCACCACATAAGCAGGGAAAAAAAAGCCAGAAGTGGCGCTGTGGCTTAAGTGGTAGAGCGCTAGCCTTGAGCTGAAGAGCTGAGGGACAGCGCCTAGGCCCAGAGTTCAGGCCCACGACCCTAAATAAATAAATAAATAAAATATAAGGTAGTAGTAGTTTAAGAGAGCATGCATGGTTCAAGTGGTAGAACACCAGCATGACAAGCATAAGGTCCTGGGTTCAAACCCCAGTAGGAACAAAACAAAAGAAGAAAGAAAGGAAAAAAAGAAAGAGAGAGGGAAATGGAATGTGTTCTCATATCATTGTAACTTATCACCTAAAGTGATCTTTCTTTTCTTTTTTAAGGTATGGCGTGGAACCTCCTGGTCTGATAAAACTGGAAAAAGAAATTGAACAAGAAGAAACACTTTCTACCCCGTCTCCTTCACCTTCTCCTTCATCAAAGTCTTCTGGAAAAAAGAGCACAGGAAACTTGCTAGATGATGCTGTAAGTACAACTGACCAGATGTCTTAATAGCTGTGTCTTCAACTATAATATACATAGCTGTCTGACCTCACTTGATTTCAATGTCCTGAAATTTATCTCAACATGTTGAGAAAATGTTTGTAGACTTTACAACTCACTTGAAAGTTCAAAACAGCCTGCCATTTAAAATAAGCTCCACTTAATGCTAGGATGTAGAATCTAGAACTGTAGAAAAATAAGTCAACCCCTTAAAAAACTAGTATTTGGCATTACTGTAACTCTCATAGTTACCATTTCGTGATGCCTCTTTTTGAACAAGTCCAAAAAACAAAATATTGAGGCTTTTAAAGAAGAGAAAGTGAACCCATGATGGGTGTTAAACGTGCTCTACTGAATACTAGCTATTGGCAAGTGTACCATTTATTTTCTCAAGATCTGAGATCTGAAAGGCAGAGCTCTTAGTGAAGAAGGGAAACAAAATTTGTGAAGCCTGTTGAGAGAAGAAAAGTAGTTTAGATCCTCATAAAGTCTTATCTGACATTCTGAGGTCTCTCTACTGAGCAAAGTCCTTGGGTTAGAGGTTTTTTTTGGTTTCTTGGATAGCATCACAGTGAGAAGAAGTAATTTCTAAGTAAAACAGCAAACAGGATGATTTAAAGGCTCAAGGTAGATTTGCTGTCTGTTCAGTTTTTCTTGGTTATGATAACTACTGTGTTGGATTGTATGGATGCATATGCCCCCATAAACATTTATTGTAGGACAAACTTAAAAAGAATGATGAAGAAAGAATTCATGAGACTGAGAAGTTGCTTAGATGTAGGTATAATCACTTAGGAATTATATCAAAATGGTAACACCACAGGTCTTAGAATTAAATATAGCATTCATTCATAAGCAGAACTTTAGAAATGTATCACCAACTATGATGGCAGCTGTACAAAAAAAGCAAGATTGTGAAGGACTACTGGCATTTAGCTGGTAATTTCATTATCAGGGTTCTGAACTGAAAAGGGCTTGAAAAAAATGCTGATGGACACTCTAAGATACAGGAAAGGAGATTTCTCTTTGATTTTCATTTCTCCTCCTGAAACTTTGACAGGCAGATTGAGATAAGCAGAAACACAATAATTTATCTGAACAATTAAGGGCTCTCATTTCTCTTGAGGGCAGCAAAGGTAAACATGCATCAAAGTAACTTAGCCAATATAATTTGCATTTAATTTATTTTGGATAAGACTGTTTAACCCATTCAGGGAATAATGAATAGGAGAGACATTTAAATTTAAAGTATCTTACAGTTTTCTTCAGGATCAATCACACATCTTGATTTTTAAAATACTTTATTCTCTTATGAGAAAGAGAGCATTTTTTTCCTGGGGCACCATAGCAATCCCTACTCATTTCCTTTGAACTATGATATTGAGTTATGTTCATCAGTACCATATAGTCAGGGTTCAAGATCATGGCTGTGGTCATCTGGCTAACATTACCTTTTACCTCCTAATCAAATGAATCATTTAATCTAATGAATATTTCAGTTCTCAAATGATGAGAGTTCTTCCTGACACTTACACTGTTGAGCAATTTGGTCTTGAAAAGCTTCTTTACGAATATTCCTCTAATCAGAATGGCCGAACCGTATCATAACCTGGGTTAATTAAAACTGTTTTTCCATAAAATCCAAGTTTAAAGCCCAACCTCACTGACATGTCACTTCAGTCCCCTTGTTCTGGTGTAATGTGTGTTTTCTAGCTATTCAGTCTCTGGACTGGTTTCATTGTTATTTCCTCATCCTACCTCCTACTCCTCTTTTATGTCTAATTTTAAGTATCTTTCATCTCCTAATGATAAGGTTGTGTCACAGTCCATATGCAGTTTTTCTTGTCATTTCCTTTCTTTTTGTCATAATTACATAGCTCCTTTCTTTTTGTCATAGGGGTCATAGTTACATAAGTCAGGTAATGAGCACATTTCTTTTTGAACAGTATCACCTCCTCCCTCATTTTCTCCCAGTTTTTTCCCTCCAGAATCCCCACCTCCTCCAAGTTGTACAGTTCATTTCCAAAATAGTGACACTATGTTCCAAATAGAAGTGCCAAATCATTCCTTGCCTTCTTACATACGTGCATTGATTTGATGAGGCATTTATCTTCTAGTATATTTATCTTCTCGTACCATTTCTTGAGAGATATAGTCTTAATTTTCAGAGATTAGATGCACATTTATTAATCTATGTGTGTCCAGTTCCACATTTGTTGGTATCATCAACATTGCATTTGTTGGTATTATCAATGTAGGTAATTAAAGTTTAAAAGTATCTACTCTGTCTCAAATATATCTGCTTTGCTCATGCTGTCTAGGAGCATATGTGCTTTCCAGTTCTATTGTAACTTTACAAAGGGTGATGTTGCCACTGGATGCCACTTATGTGAACCACAGAGAACTACCCCCAAATGACTCCTCTCTCCAGCTATCTCTTATAGCTAGCTGTGTCTCATGAGAACTGGAGAAGACAGGAGACGACCAGGAGGTGGTGAAACAACTCAATGGAATTAGCAAAGTTTTACTAACACTCTGGTGTAGACAAAAGAACAGCAAGACAGAAAGACCAATAAAGGCAAGGCAGTTATTCTGCAGAGATTTCCTCAACTCCAATTTCTATTCTTTCAACTGAGAACAATGGAGGGCATTCAGAAGGGTTGTAATCCTTCTTTAAAGTTTATAGGAGTCTGAGAAAGTAACAGTCAATTTTGTTAATGGGAGAGTGTTGATTAAATATAGGTTAGTTCAGTACTATTGCCAGCTATAAAATACTCTATCCTGTAAGCCTTGACCATTTTTCAAGTGATATTTCACCAATAATTTTTCTGCCACTAGATGCCCTGAGAGGAAAAGATTTCTCTGGTTCGATCAGTTTCAGAAATGTAATTTTGTTATTGTCTCCATATAGAGGTTAGAAATGTGGTTTGGCATGCCACAGCATCTGCAGACATACACAATAACATCTTATCGAACCTGGAATTTTCCAAATTCACTTGACCACCCCAATTTCTTAAGGTAGTAATCATCCTATGCTGAGGCTAGGTACACAGAACTGTTTGCATGCTGTTTATGTGACAGTCTTTACTGAAGTGTTTTGTTTCAGTAATGGTGGAACAGAGAGAAAAGTAATTTGAGCCTCCTTAATGACTTCAATGAGAATTTCATATGTCTAATATAAAAAGGAAATGGTTTCTATGACAACTGTATAGCCTCAGGTGCAGCAGTTGAGATTTGAATTTGATGTACCATAACAATTGTTTTAGAACCAAGGTATAAAACAGTCCTTTCAGTGGTCAGTGTCTAGTTCATATAGACTATTTTTTACGCTCACAAAGTTACTATCTGCAATGGCAAAAAAAAAAGGAAGGATAAGGGAGTAAAAGAGTAAAGGAAGGGATTGGAGGAAAAAGAAATGAAGAAGAAAAGGCAATGAAAGGAAAAAAAACAAACAAAGAACTGAAAGTCCTGGATTAAGATGATCAAATTCCAATGGATTCAGCAAGAACTCCCATTCCGAAACCTTCAATGCTTCCCTTAGATTGTATTCTTTAATACTTAGGGGAATAGTGAAGAAAATAGGTGACATTTAATGTGGCTAGTGCAGCCCACATTCCTTAATCAAGATATCATGAAAGAAGTACAGTGGAGTTCATTCAAATTAATTTATTCTCCAGATGTCCTGATAGTGAGATTCTGCTTAGACAAAATGGTTGGGGTCAGGTTTAGTTCTCTTTGCATTCCCTTGTGTTAAGCTAGTTCCACACAAAGAGTTGAATACAATTCTAAGAAACCTTTCTTACCTTCTTCCTCTTTGCATCCACTTCCTCGGTCTGGGGAAGGGAGATAGAATACTTCTGAGTAATCAGGCTCCTCTTGAAATCCCATTTCAACAGAAAAACTGGCTAGCTTCCTAGCCAAGAATAGAACACCTGCCAGACTGTCTTATCCCAAGGTAATATAAGAAGCACAGATGTCATCGTTCACTGTTTGCTCAACAATATATTTCCACTGCCCACAGTCTGGTCTTGTCTTTTCCATTTCTTCTACTATCTTTCACACAGTTACAAAAAAAAAAAGCCCCTTCACTATTATAATCAAGTCCATCTTAAAATGAAGTAGACATTAGAAAAGGTCATTAGAACATTTTCTTGTACTTTATTTCATGTGACACCAGCCATTTCTGTGTTTTCTATCAGAAAGCTGCACAATGGAAATCCTTTCCCGGCAGATCTGAGACTGTTATTTCTTTGCAGACACCAGTGCCAAGTTACTGTTTGTGAGGAGAGTTAGGGACAAGATGGTGAAAACTTTATGACAAACTCTGTGCATACCTATTATGTATCACAGGATGCAATGAAGGGCACTGTTGTCATGGGATGAGCAAACGTAGTAAACTGACACATGTCTTAGATTTAATATCTACTGTGGTATTTTTAGGAATGTATATTGTCATTAACTGTAGGCACTAAGACGTCCACTTGATCTTGAACATATTTATTTTAGCTAACCCTTATTAGGTATTCTTTGGCCTACATCTCTTTGTTTTACTAAACTGTCTGTAAGTAACAACTCTACTCCACTTCTATGATACCAACCTTGCTTATATTCCTTATATACACAAGATCCTGTCTTTTTGAGTGCCTGCAGTTGTTTTTTTCTTTAACACATCACACATGGGTATTTATATTGTTGGACATGACAGAAAAGACTATCCTAAAGGAACAATATTGAATTATTATTATCCTGCGTCTACTATGGTCATTTATGATAAATATCTTGGTAATTAATAGTAATGCTACAGCAAATATGAGAATTTAGATTTTTCTTTGAGATACAGATTTCCTTTTATTTGAATATATAGCAGAATCAGTAGTAGTAAATTATGTAGTAACTTTATTTTAAGGAAATTATGTAGCAACTCTATTTGAGGAACTACTATATTATCATTCATAATGGGTGGATATTCCCTACGATGAATGACAATTTTTTAAACTTATCATCAGTCTCCAACATCTCCATGAAAAAAGTAAAACTTGGTTGAGAAAAATACAGATCATTGTATTCAGAATGTAAACTTGTTCTGCTTAGCTGATTTCTCAAATATAGGCTTGCTGCCATTTTCGTATTTCTAGTTCTTCCATGAAAATGTTCTTGAAAATACAGATTAGTGTTTTACTTTGTTTGGTTGCTTTTCGGAGAGAGGACAGTAATGAGACACAGAATGACAAATGCTTGCTCTTCGATAGATCTTACCTTATATGATCTTCTGATGGTAACATAGCAGCTATTGTAAGATTTGCACATGTATCACTCAGATTATGTACTTGTAAGGAAGTGGAAATATGTATTTGAGATATAAAAATTGATATTTAAGGATGAATTTATGTAAGACACACAAAAATTTGAAGATATTTCCAAAGAAGGATTTAATAAGTAGCAATTGCTTAAAGGGGGTGACTTGTTGGATGACTCTGAATGAATTAGATATCATTTATTTCAAGAAAATTTAGGATTCAACAAAATATGAAGTAATCTATTTTGAGAATGATTTAAATTGAACATATTTAAATAACACTAACAAAATAAATTTTGCTAGCATATATTCTATTCTATTTTTATACAAATACTTGATTTTAGCTTTCAATATACTTTCTTATCAAGCCAGTGTAAGCAATCATCTTAACTCACCAAAAAATATAAACACAGCTCTTTGTTCCTATAGTAACAACTGAGACACACATGGTACGCTTTCTGGTCATGACTGTCATTGATCCCATGCCTTCCTGCAGTTCTTGATTTCAGAAGATTGCTTCCGTACTTGGATGTCACCCAACTCTGCTCACACGAGTCCATAGTTATACAACAAGTTTTAAAATTGTCAGTTGTCCAGGAACTTGGGAAACAAAATTGATCTAGACATAGAGATTTAGGGGAATGACCTCACCTGCTTTTCTATTTCAGGTGAAACGGATTTCTGAAGATCCTCCTTGCAAATGTCCAAGCAAATTCTGTGTGGAGAGGCTCTCCCAGGGCAGATATCGAGTAGGAGAGAAGATTCTCTTCATTAGGGTAAAGTTGTACTTTTATTTATTATCTTGTTCTTTGTGAGATATTGATTGGGAAAAAGGGCAAAAGAGAGGTGATAAGTAACTAAGCAGGAACTTGAAATGAAGTTAGTAAGTATGAGCACTTAATATACATGATAACATATCACCAAGGGCTAAGTAAAAATAACAATCTTTATTTTTTATACACATACACAAATACATAAATAGACAGAAGATCAAATACAATGTTTTGTATACTTATATCTTTTCTAAGGCACTATACCTACCTCTTGTATGAAGAATGGAAGCAATGTTCTTCCCTGGTCTTGCATACCTAATGCTATGGAAATTGTTTTCAATAAATCTGGTTTATGGTACAAGTGAGAAGAATGAAAGCTCAATATTATAGGAAGGTCAAATAGTAATGGACAAAAACTGATGAGTAAGATTGATTCTATTAATATTTGATTTGCAAATCTTTGTCCATTTCACAATCATACTAAATTAAATCCTTTTAAGTCATAAACAATTTTAGATTGTAATGAGTAGCTTAATCAACTAGCATTTCAGAGCTTTCACACTGAATCAGTTTTGCTAATTATCAAAAGATGTTAGTCTCTCAAAATAAGTTTGGGACTTTTGCAAAGACCAGGAATTACTCCATGAAAAGAAAACAAAAAAGAATCAGCAAACCATACTGTGTGTTTTATATATTCCTAGAAATCTTCACTCAATAAAAGTGTTTTTCTGCCTTACAGCTTAGTCATATCCTGATAAACAAAGTTTAGAATTTGAGGAACTATGCTCTCATCTCATTTGGATAAATTAAAAATATTTTGCTTGTTAATTTATAGACAAGAATGTATTGAATATGTACATTGAATACAATCAAAATTTGTTTTATACTCAAACCTACAGTAGTCTAGTAGAAATTGTGTCTGTGAAAAGTTTTATTAATTTCACATTTAAACAGAAGCTTTTTTCTTTGAAGACTCAGCCACATTTGCCAAAGAAAATGTTTAAATATTTTAAAATCTTTTAAATTAAAAAATCTTATTATTTTAAGTTGGTGTACAAAAAAGTTTCAATTCAACATGTCAGTTTGTGAGTACAATCCAATTCAACCTTAAAATGCAATGTTAATAGTTTTGTATTGTAGCCTAATTTTTTAGGTCTGTTTTTAGTGAACTTTACATTTCCAGGTAATAATTGCTATTCTGTATTTGAAACAAAAGGAATATAGTAACAATATATTAATACTATTTGATTCAGAAAAACAATTCTGTGTAAATGCTCTTAACAGGAAAAGCATTTTGCATTGTTGTTTTGTTTTTTGTTCTTTATTACAAAGTTAATACATGTTATTGTTTTAGCTAAAGTGTCTGCTTCCATTTACCTTACAAAAATACCATGATTTTGAATCTCCATGGATATGTTGAAATTTTACCAGTCTGGCCTTTCTCAGTGATGAATCAGCCTTTATTAGATTATTAGTCATTAGGACCTTGAATTAGCAAGACTTTTATTTGTTTAAACAAATAAAGTTTCTTTTTATGATAGAAATGTTGATCATACATGATTATTAAATTAGTTTTCCTTTCATATAATTTAAATTCTACTATGTGTCAAGAAAAGAAACTATCCATGAACATGTATTCACTGAACTTTGGCTTTCTGCTTGCTTGGTATCTATTTCCAATCTTGTGATTCACAAATCTTCTTCAACTGTCTCTGACAATCCTTAGAGGCATCAGGGTTAAAATTTCACAGGTAGTTCTCATAAACTCTTCAGTGCAAATTCTTTCTAATTTCTCTTGTTTGTTGAACTGCTTAGCGAAACACATCTCATTGATGTACACATGTTTAGCTAGTACTTTTGATTTGTGGCTGGAAATGTAATAGACTATGAAGGGATCATCAAGGGAGTAGAATTAGTATCATCTGGAAATTTGTAAGAAATACAAATTCTTGAGATTCCCACAAAACTGAATTGCATCAGAAATTTCAACATTATGGAGGACCCAGCAATTCATGCACTTTATTTTCTTGATTGTGTGTTTTTGTTTTGTGAGTTTTCTTTTCTGGCACTGGGAAGTAGAAAATCAGGGTGAGTGAATGAATGGTGAACTTGAAGTTCAAACCGGTAACTATGATTACTAAGCTCCTAAATTTATGTTCTTTGCTACCAAATAACATGAATTTCTTTACTTGCAATTTTTTTGAATATTCACTATACTAATTAGTTCTGGAAGGTCTTCAAGACAACTTTTTATTACTTTATATAAATATATACATACACATATACATTTATATGTACATGTGTTTCAGATAGACAGATAGATAGAACTATAAGCATAGTTCCTTTCCTTCAGTTGTTTATTTAGTCATTCCTTCATTCTAGAGAAGTATCTGGGCTAAGAAGTCCTGAAAGCATCTTGAGGGAAAGGTATTTTAAGTAGAAGTGTTTTTTCTTAATGATATGTGTAACAGAATTATATTGAAAAGTGAAAGTTTTCTATATCTTGCTTACTACAGGACTAGTCAATTTGTACTACTTTTTGCCTTCCGGTACTATTTGAAAACAATTATTTTCAATGAAATAACTAGTAACCTTTTATTGGAAAGGAATCTAAAATTTAGGGAGTTATTTATGCTAGATATTTTACCAAGTACATTTTATACATTGTTGGAAAGAATCTTTTCTGTTCTATAACTGAGAAATAGTTTTAACCCTTTTGTTATGGCTAAAAAGTGTCATATACAGTATAAAGTCTCAAGTAGATATGATGATTATAAGTCAAGCTCTGCCTCCAACCATAAGACACACCACTCCAAGCTTCCTAGCATGGTGTATCACTTAGACATAAAAATTTGCTCTCAAGATTTGTTTCCCGGGCTGGGAAGGTGGCTCAGTGGTAGAGCACTTGCCTTGCATGCATGAGGCCCTGAGTTCGATTCCTCAGCACCCCATAAGCAAAAAGGAAAAAGCCGGAAGTGGCACTGTGACTCAAGTGGTAGAGCGCTAGCCTTGAGCTGAAGAGCTGAGAGACAGCTCCCAGGCCTAGAGTTCAGGTCCCACGACTGGACCAAAAAAAAAAAGATTTGTTTCCCTAAAAGCACATGATTTATCACATATTTAAGGCTAAATTATAATAAGGGTATTCCCTGTGAACATTTTTCTTTAAAATATTCAGACTATCATTGCTTAACAGTAGTGCTTACATGAAAAAGAAATCTATTTCCCTGAAAGTATCATGATAGTTAAACATTCGCAACTATTTTTAGGTAGTTGGAGGGTAGGCAATATCCAACAATGTATTATATTGTCTATCTCATTTATGAATCAAAGCTATTTATAACTTTATATAATTTAATATATGCGTTATCTGTCCAAATATCTTTTAATAGCAGTCAGAAGATACTTCTTCCTCAGGGACTCTAGAGTCTTATTGAATCATTACTTGCTAATTTTATTTCTTTTAAAAAATAGATTAATGTATTTCAAGGTATTTTTGCAGTAGATCTCAACATTTGGATAAAACTGCATGAAATTCGATACTAATACTCTTTGTGTTGAAGGGCTTCCCTTCTCCCTCTCCCCCTCCCCCTACACACTGTTTAAGATGTGACTACTTTAGGGCCCCAAAGAAAAGACAAATAATTCAATTTGAGAGTCAGCACGGGGATTTACAATATTTAGAATTATTTTCTTTGTAGTGCTTTTGAATTAAATCATCACAGATCAAAAGAAAGGTCATTCTCTCTGTATGATTTTTTTCTTTATCATAAAAATTCTTCTGACTCGTACCTGTGCAGAAAAAGTCAACTCAATATAACAAAGCAACAAGAGAGGCACTAGAGCCCTGTTTCTATGGTAACAGAACATGGCCCTGTCATCTGGGGTTTGCTCTAAGGGAAGGTCCAAGGATAGTGAGTAATACTACAGTCTTTTCTGCTATTGTGACACATTGATTTACTGTGAGTTAAAAGTATCCAGTTTAAATTCCAAACCTTCCCTGGCAATGAAAAATGGGCTGGGGTGCAAAAATGCAAAGGAGTTTTAAGTAGAAAGAAGATTAAAATCTGTGTGCCACACCTTAGAATCAGACATTACTTAAGAGCAGAATGAAGATTGATGTTGGGGAAAACATAAATTTTCCCTCAATGAATTTGAAAATTTATGAGTGCAGTGATTAAGAATTCAGAATTGGTGTTTTGTGTTTATTGCTAAAAAAAAGTATATAGTTGGGTTTGTTTCTTCTATAAATGAAGAAAGCTCATTCATTTAATTTCTAACCTTGATGTGAGGTTAGCAGGTATTTTTGCATGATGAATATTTCCAAACTCATTCACTTTCTTGTCCAGTTGCCACAAAAGGAGACCAACTCACAAAAAGAGAAATCAATTGCATTTAAATGGTATTTTTGTGCCTTGATTTTCATTCTAGTTTTAAATGAAAAAAAAATTGTTCCCCTATTGAAGATATTTTTATTCACTTGTGTTTTGTCCATGTTCACTGAAGCTAATAAAGGATGTAATGTATACTTTGGTAAAGCACCTCCTAAAAGACCTTGTAAATGTTATTAAATCCTCTTAATTCCTCCTCTCTGAGTAAAGCATTTATCTTGGAGAAATGCAAATAAATAAATGACTCGTCTTTGCTATAAAGAATTTAAGCCAAGGGATGTTTTCTTTCTGAAAGATACCCTTTGAGGTTGAAAAAAATGAAAAAATACAGAAAAAATAAATTCATTCAGATTTACATAAGATGATAGCTTGATATTATATACATTCATACAATTTTTAAAAGCACACATGCACAATTAAATTTGACACTTATTTCAAGAACAGAAAGAATGGGTAGTACAATTAAGCAGGTCTCTATACTCTTAAGGTGCACAATTTATTCTGCTTCTATGACTTAAGAGATAAATCTAGTGTGCAATAAATATGTGAGAGCCCCAAATCAAAAATTATTCTTTCCTGGAATTTGCCAGTATTGGTCATTCAATGAAGGGTACT